AGTAAGAGACGCTAAAAAAAAAATGTATTAATTAATTATATAAATTGCGGATTACCACTTTCGTTAAACGTTATTACGGAAAAGTTCTACCCCTAGCCTACCATTAACCCTAAAAAACTTCTACTTGACCCTAATTTTTCTGTCAAACGATCAAGTACTGTCATGCCGGGTTTTTTTTTTGCGGGGGGGTATTTTTTTTTTTTAAATTCTGTTTGCCGGGGATGTTTTTTTTCATGTGTTGTGTTGGAATCTTCGTAAAAAAAAAAAAAAAAAAAAATTCTTCAGCGGTGATGCGTCGGCGATTAAGTTTTATGGCAATGTAAAAAATTGCGACTTTTTTTTTTTTAAGCGTTTCACCCAAAAAAAGGCGGGAAGCCACTAGGACGCAAGGGGTTACAGAAAAGTCTGGGAACCAGCGAATGCAGCTCCTCGGAGCAATTGCCATGAAAGTATTTGTAAAACAGTCAGAGAGAGGCGACGGCGCGTCTGTGAGAGAGTGACTGTAGACGAGATGCCAGATCAGGGCCAATTATATTGCATATCCGCCTCTGGACTTAAACATTTTTTCGAATCAAATTTAGTCGAGAAAATATTGGTGGTTATTGCAAAAAGAATAACAAATTCTCAGATTTAAAAAAAAAAATACTATCCACCTAAAAGTAACTAATGAATATGCACTGAAATTTTCATTTAAATTAGAAAATACCCTGATTCTTTGTAAATAAAAAAAAAGCGCTGACCTATCCCTGCCCAATTTTCCTTCGAAGATTTGTGACCCCTAGGTTTGGAAACTTTGAAATGGACATGTAGTAGAGAGGAGGCCCCCGTATCAAAGTTTCATGGAGTGGGGCAAGTCCTTAGCGCTGGCCCTGCTTTTAAACTTTAAAATAAACCTTTTCCTTCAAACATTTCTTCAGAAAGATTCGTTGGAACAAAAAAAAAAAAAAAAAAACAAACAAACATACAATTAGTGGGTCCATGTGTTTGAGTTGCTATCCTTGTATTTTATTAATAAAAGTACAATTCCTGCCCGGCGTAGAATTTGTAGCGGGCCGTGTGTTTACGTGTTGTTAAATTAGGAACACGTGCTGTTTATTCCTGCTAGAAGAAGGTCCAACAACAAGAACAATGGCGGACACAAGTTGAGTCCAACCGAAGATGTAAAGAAAACAAACAAGACCGATATATATATATATGTCAACAAATATATGTATTAAACAACAAATCTACAAGTGACAAAGACATTAACATTTGCGTTTGTGTGTGAACGTAAAGAGTTTGGTGAATGTTCATACATACGTGTATGTGTGTTTCATGGCGTTTTCGCACAAGTGGGCAAAAACGCGGATCTCTACGAGAGATCACGTTTTTTAAGTGTATCCGCTGAAATGCAAAGTCAAAAGAGAACGAGGCGAGATATTGCCCAGTATTTATAGTGTAGGGAGAGCGACCCCTAGTGAGCAATTAGGGAATTAAGGAGGAGCTAACTCCGACAGATTCTTCTTTAGTAGGACTTCTTTTGAATTTAGGCCGGTTGCTATTAATTTCACTGTTTAAGAAATTAAATAAACAGGGATAGCAAACCCAAACAAGTGTACACATTAAAAATAAAGTTTATAGTTATACAGAAAGAGGGCGATGGGTAAATTGTCGCCATTTAATATTTTAATTTTGCGCATGTGCATTGCTCGTTTTTGATTCTGTGGACTGCACAGGGTATTATGAACTGTTGGGCACTGTCTGTGAGAAAAAGAAATTTTGAAATAGCAGGTTGTACTGCTTGGCATTCGCACCAGAAGTTCCAATACAAACATTTCAGAGTGTTTGGGCAGAAAATTCAAAAAGAGTTGGCTGACTCTAATGGTTATTACAAAGGTGTCTGGAGTGATTACTAGTGATGGCAACATTATGCTTCCATTCATTTTTCCACAGGGCCTCAGATTCAACATGGAGGCCTAAAGAAAGTAGTGCTGTCCTGGGTCAAGAGAGTGGCTGCTGAAAGATCCTACATCTGGCAACAGGATTCCATGCCACAAAACCAAGAGAACCCAGTCATTGGCAGTCAGAGAATTTCTGTGACCATATCACGCTTTACATCTGTCCACCCAACTCCCCAGGCTGTAACCCCTTTGTTAATTATGTGTGGGATACAGTTGAGTGAGCTCCTTGTAACACCAAAGATGAACTGATGGCAAGGATTATGGTAGCATTCACCAACTTAAACAAGGAGACCATCAAGAAGAGTTGCAGGAGATTCCCAAGTTGTCTGGAGGCCATAGTTGAAGCCAATAATTATATTGAATAAATTTACTCTTTAGTATTTCAAGATATTTTTGTGTAATTTTGGTAAATATATTTGTTAATATGAAATGTCAATGTTATTTTCATTTTTGTGTAATTTAGATGACTATCTATCCATTGCACTCTGTGTATATATATATCTCTACACACACACACACACACACACACACACATATATATATATATATATATATATATATATATATATATATATATATTCATCAGACCTACAAATTCAGAAAGAAATTGAAAATATATATATATATATATATATATATATATATATATTTTTTTGATTTCTTTTGAATTTGTAGATCTGATGAATCGGATTGTGATTACAATTCCAATGTAATAAATTATAACCATGGAATATTAATGTTTGAGCTTTTATATTATATTCTTGCTGTTTCCTGGAGATTGAATTATACCTTGATTCTATCCTCTTGGAAATTTATATATATATATATATATATATATATATATATATATATATATTGACCACTAATATTATATATATATGAAGAAATATAGTCTTAAGATGTGCTATATTTCTGGGATAAAGTGCTCAATATCAGAGATAGAGCATGTGTAGATATAAAAGTGAACATAGAAGTCTTCTATATTCACTTTTATATATATATATATATATATATATATATATATATATATATATATATATATATATTTGACAAATGGAAACATTTCATGAAAATAGATTTGATAGAAAATAGATTTGATTATCCTGCATTTCACCATTCAAGGCTTTATCAGATCCAAAAAGAAAAGAATGAAAAGTGTGTTTGTGTATTTGTTTGTGCATTTAAATAATGAATCTTAGTTATTTTTGTCCTCAGCTTGTGATTAAAAAAGTCATTAGTATTTATTCTGTATCTTTTCTTTACAATTCTTAGTTCAAGTTCAAAAGTTGCTAATGTATTTTCACAGCTTTTTTTATCGAATTAAAGGCGAATCCTCTTCTCATTATCAGAAAAACTCGAAAGCAAGAAATTCATTCAGCCTTTTCGGAAATGTATGTAAGGCAGATCCTTATACAATCCTTTAGAATGGGTTTAAAGTAAAAGATTTGTTTTTTGGTCTATCCACGTGTTTTCTGTATCAAAAATATATGTTTTTAAATTAAGACATACAAATCCTTGATTAATGGAAATGTTTCATGAAAATAGATTTTCATGAAACACTTCCATTTATATCTATATATATATATATATATATATATATATATATATATATATATATATATATATATATATATAATATAAAAAAAAGAAAGAACAGTAAGATATATAATCTGGTGTTCTTATAGATATTTTTATTTTTACAAAATAGTGCTCAATGTAAATTTACAGAGCATTAATATTATATATTAATTGATTTAAAATGTTTTTTTCGCTACACAGTTCTAACCATGTTTCAAAAATGGAAGCTAAAAGATTCGAATTTAATTTTGTAATTAATTAAAGACATTAGTTCCATTTCATCATCAAGCGCACTTGAGGATGAAATGGAACTAATGTTTTAAAAGTTGCCTAAATATATATATATATATATATATATATATATATATATATATATATATATATATATATATATATATTTAAACATATCTTCATTCAGGCATGTTTTGTTGAATATTCTGAATATATTATGTCTATTCATTTTATTTTAATCCTCTTGAATTCTCTGATTGACTTCTTAATGTTGATATTAAATTCATTAAGGAAGGTACCATTTTTTTTTCTTTTCTTTTCTTTCCATTTTCCAAAATACTTTCAATTTTATCCATACTTTCAATAGCAATTCACTGCTGAAGAAGATCAAGGATAAGATTGATGTACCTGAGAAATGAAAATAAAAGAAAAGAAAAAACTATGGTACTTTCCTTAATGAATTTAATACACACACACACACACACACACACACACACACACACACACACACACACACATATATATATATATATATATATATATATATATATATATATGCCTGTGTTTCTGTAGTTGTTGTGAGAATTAAATGCAATTAAAATTATCTGCCAGAAGGTTTTATATTCAAAATGAAGATGTTTAAATCTTATTTATTGCAGCTTCAGGAATCAACTAAAGTCTCCATTTACAAAATATAAGTGAATGTTGATTGTATAAAATGTGTTAGATTATTTCATATATAATAATCTAAAAATGTCTTATCTGTCATATAAAAATATATATAATATATATATATATATATATATATATATATATATATATATAAATGTAAATAAAATATATAAGTATATATATAAAATTTATATAATATATAAGTCATAATGTTAAAATGCTATATTGGTAATATAATAAAAACAATATATGTACATATATATATATTATTTTTATTATATTATATTATATTATATACATATATATATATATATATATATATAATATAATATAATAAAATAATAAATAATATATTATTGTTTAAAAATGGTATATTAGCAAAATATAAAAAGTTAATAATAATAATATAATATTAAAATGCCATATTGAAAATCTATATTAATAAAAATGTTTATCTTACTAGTCTAAACATACTTTGTCGCTATCATAGGGTGTCTTCTGTTTGTAACTGTGCATATAATGAGTAGTAATATGAATCTGACATGTAAAGAAAGTGTTTGTGCTCTGAATATCAGTCAGTCAGAGGTGACAAAAAGAAACAAAAGGGAAAGGAAAACAAGAAAAAATAGTCAGGAAGCCTAGTGGGAACGAAGAGAAGAGGATAAAAGAAAGATAAAAAAGAAGGCAGGATCTGAAGAAGTGTGGAAAATTGGTGGAGATGGCGGCGGTTTTTGGTTTGTGGTGGGGGTGTTTGTGAAATGAAGGTCCACTGGTTTTTTATAGCAATAATAGTGACTATATGTTAATTTTAGCAGTTCATCTCCATGAAAGAATTAATTAAGACTTTGCGACAAAAGGAAAATATTGCTAGGTTGTCATCAACAAGGACGCATAGAGATCCCATTATTGTTATAGTTGATAATTTGAAGTGGGTGCAGTGTTGTAATAATATAATTGGGGTGGCGGTCATCATAGGGACAGAGAGAAGAGGAGGGAAAGAAAGTAATAATAGAATTAGTCATGAAGCAATTATTGGTCAGAAGGAGTATGAGTGATGATGCTGATGCTGATGATGCTACTGCTGATGATGATGATGATTGTAGAATGTAGAGGTAGTCGGGGTGGTAGTAGGTAATGGTGTGAGGATAATGGACACTTAGACTTAGTGGTGCTTATTGCTAAGTTAATGAAGAACGAACTCAAAGAAGAGAGAAAAGGACGAGAGACTATAGGAAAAAAAAAAATGAGCAAGAGAGATAGAAGCCAGATTTGAAGTGGGGAGGGAGTAATAGCGAGAAACGGGGGTGGGGGTGGTTAGAGAGAAAGAGCCAGAGAAATAAGAGAAGGTAGAGAATTGGAAGATGTTGTCGGAAGAGATAGGGAGGTGGGGGGGAAGACACGGGAATGAGAAGAGAAAGAGAAAAAGGGGAAAAAAAAAAGGAAGGAGAAAAGAGGGGGGGGAAGAACAGACAAAGAAGAATAGTGAAAAGTAGAGAAAAATGAGAAGAAAAAGAAAACAAAAAGAGGAAAAAAAGAATGAAAAAAAATATGTAAATAGGAGAAGAGAGAAAGGAGGAGTGATGGAAGAAGAGGAGAAGAAAGAGAGAGAGAGAGTGAAACTAAAGAAGAAGCAAAAAAAGAAAGAGAGGAAAGCAAAGTAAGAAAGTGAAAGAAGGGGAGGGATAGAATGTGAGTAAATAGGGAAGAAAAACAGAGAGTAGATGTAGGAATCAAATACAAGAATAGGATAAAATATGGGAAGTATACACAAATAAAGAGCTTTGATATCTAGCTAGAAAGAGAGTTAGGAATAGACGAAGATACTTTGGTAGATAGAGAGGGGTATTATGAGATAGATAGATAGATAGATAGATAGATAGATAGATAGATAGATAGGAATATAATGAGATAGGAATATAATGGGATAGATAGGGACATAATGTGATAGATAGATAGATAGATAGATAGATAGATAGATAGATAGATAGAAACACTGAAACAGATAGATAGATAGATAGATAGATAGAGATAGATAGATAGAAACACTGAAACAGATAGATAGATAGATAGATAGATAGATAGATAGATAGAAACACTGAAACAGATAGATAGATAGATAGATAGAAACACTGAAACAGATAGATAGATAGATAGATAGAAACACTGAAACAGATAGATAGATAGATAGATAGATAGATAGATAGAAACACTGAAACAGATAGATAGATAGATAGATAGATAGATAGATAGATAGAAACACTGAAACAGATAGATAGATAGATAGATAGATAGATAGATATAATAGAAACACTGAAACAGATAGATAGATAGATAGATAGATGGATAGATAGATAGATAATAGAAACACTGAAACAGATAGATAGATAGATAGATAGATAGATGAATGGATGAATAGGAACACTGAAAAAATAGATAGATAGATAGATAGATGGATGATAGAAACACTGAAAAGATAGATAGATAGATAGATAGATAGATAGATAGAAACACTGAAACAGATAGATAGATAGATAGATAGATAGATAGATAGATGAATAGATGGATAGAAACACTGAAACAGATAGATAGATAGATAGATAGATAGATGGATGACATAGATAGAAACACTGAAACAGATAGATAGATAGATGGATAGATAGATAGATAGATAGATAGATACATGAAAAGAACACTGAAAAGATAGATAGATAGATAGATAGATGGATAGATAGAAGAAACACTGAAACAGATAGATAGATAGATAGATGAAGATAGAAACACTGAAACAGATAGATAGATAGATAGATAGATAGAAACACTGAAACAGATAGATAGATAGATAGATAGATAGATAGATAGATAGTTAGATAGATAGATAGATAGGACATTAATCATTAAATGGGGAAAATGGCTAAATAAAAAAGAGAGACGTATCCAACTAAAGGGAGAGACAGTGATAGACAATGAGGAAAAGTGCAACACAGAGAGAGAGAGAGGGTGGGGAGAGTCAAAGAGATGAATAAGAAGAGAAAGGTGGTGGTGGGGGGGGGCTCAATTAGAGATGAGAGAACAAGAAGAGAGAGAGCACCTGGTTAATTAGATCAAAGTGGAGATTTATTCACTTCATTTCCTCCCTGTTGGTCACCCTTGGGTCATTTTTCTGACCACTGCTGGACTCTGGGTAATGGCAGTCATTACGCTTATCTCTTCATAATGCAAACTGCCCAAAGGCTGTAGGAAGAGGAAGGGAGACGTGCGGAAAGTAGACGGACAATGACCATGTGGAGAAAGGATGGAGGAGGAGGAGGAGGGGGAGGTGGTGGCGGTCAGTGGCGGACCTGCAGTTGGGGAGTTTCTTTATTACTAATTACCTGGTATTGATTTGATGGCAGTGAACGTAGTGGTGGTGATGGTAGCGGTTGAAGTAATTCCAGAGTGAGAGTAATAAATGTTGTAAAGTTATGAAGAAATTGTAGGGGGGGTTGTTTAAGAGTAGTGGAGACAATTCCGGGTTGGGGTAAGGGTTAAGAGAGTCCTTTGTATTTATTCATATTGGTATATACTCCTTCAAGCTCCTTTGAATGTTTGTCTTTTCTTTTTTTTCTTTTAGTTTTGTTTTGTTTTCTTTTCATTTCTTTCAGTTACGTCTGTTATCTGATCAGAATAAGTGTTTGTTTTTATTTGCATCTTCTTGGATAGAATTTCTTTTCTTCCATTTTTTTTTCCCCCTCTTAGCCACTCTCTTGATTCCAAACATTTTCTTCTTACTGATTGGAGTCTATTTTTTTTTTACTTTTACCTTTTGTTCTCTGTCCAAATTCTCCATGTAAGCTTCCAAACGATTCCTTTCTGGGTGTCTGTGATAACAACAATGGCAGGCAGGTGTGTGGATTTACTGTATATATATATATTTTTTTCTTCCTTGAATGTCTTCCTTCATTTTCTCTTCTCTTTTTCCTTAGCTTTTTTTTACTCTAATACATCACTTTTTCATCTCTCTTTTTTTCTGTCTTTCATATACTCTCTTCTTTTTTTCTCTCTCTCAACTCCTTGTCTCTCTTTTTTTTTTTTTTCTTCCTTTCTGTTTAGCATTTCTTTCTCCCTTTTATTTGTTAACCTTTCTTGCACGTGTTTCTTTTCTCTCTCTTTTTTTTTTTTTTGGGGGACGACTTTTCTCCCTCTCTCTCTTTCTCTTGTTTCCTTTTCTATTTTCTTTTTCTTTCTTTTTTTTTTCTTAAATGAAAGACGAGTTAAATAAGATGAGAAATAAGAAGAAGGAGAAACCTCTTTCCCTTTTTATATACAGTGTAACCCGGATATAAGAGAGTTGTCGGGACCGGAGAAGAAGTCTCTTATATCCGGGTTGCTCTTATATCCGGGTTTGGTCTATTTTGTTTAGGTAAGTATGGCTCTAATTTGGGATCAGATAAAATCTCTTTTATATCCGGGGGTCTCTTATATCCGGGTCTATTATATCCGGGTTTATTAGTATTTCTACCTATAAAATGTCCGCTTCTGTATTTTTCAATTTTCTGTCTTCTCTCTCTCTCTCTCTCTCTTCAGTCCTTTTCCTACCTATCTTTTACTATCTTGTATCAAAGTCCGTCTTTATTCTAGCTTATACATTTTTAACTTTCTCTTGCCTTCTCTCCTCCTCCATCAATATAACCAATTTTTTATCTCCATCGTCCCTTGGTTCTTCTTTTGACAAACTTTCTCTAAGGGTTTATTTTTCCTTATCTCTCATTTTGGTTTTATCTCATACACACTCTCTCTTTTTTTCTCCCTCTCTCTCTTTCTCCCTCTCTCTCTTTCTTTCTCCCTATCTCTCTCTTTCTCCTGAACTCTCCCTTTCTATTTCCCTCTCTCTTTTTCTCTCTCTCTCTCTTTTCTATCTCTCTCTCTCTCCCCTTCCCTCCCTCCCTTTCTATCTCTCTTTCTCCCTCACTCTCTCTCTCTCCTTTCTCTCTCTCTCTTTCCACCTCTCTCTCTCTTTTTCCTCTCTCTTTTTCCCTCTCTCTTCCCCCTCTCTTTTTCTCCTCTCTCTTTTCTCTCCTCCTCCCTCCTCCCTCTCTTTCTCCCTTTCTCTCTCTCTTTCCACCACTCTCTCTTTTTCCCCCTCTCTTTTTCTCTCTCTTTCCCCCTCTTTCCCTTCTCTCTTTCTCCCTCTCTATCTCCTTTTCTCTCTCTCTTTCCTCCTCTGTTTTTATCTCATACATGCTCTCCCTCTCTCCCTTTCTATCTCCCTCTTTCTTTTTCGCTCACTTTTTCTCTCTCTCATCTCTCTTTCTCCTTCTCTCTTCCTCTCTCTCTCTCTCTCACACACACACACACAACACTTTGTCATTCTCTTTTTTCTTGAAACTTCTCTCTCTCTATTCCATCTTTCTTTTCACCTCTTTTTTTTTGTTTCATTCCCCCCCCACACACCTTTTTATTGTTCTTTCCTCCTCGTCTCTTCTCGTCTCTTTTCTTCTCTTTCCTTCTCTTCTCTTCTCTTCTCTTTCCTTCTCTTCTCTTTCCTTCTCTTCTCTTCTCTTCTCTTTCCTTCTCTTCTCTTCTCTTTCCTTCTCTTCTCCTTCTCTTCTCTTTCCTTCTCTTTCCTTCTCTTATCTTCTCTTCTCTTCTTTCCTTCTCTTCTCTTCTCTTCTCTTTCCTTCTCCTTCCTTCTCTTCTCTTCTCTTTCCTTCTCTTCTTTCCTTCTCTTCTCTTTTCTTCTCTTTCCTTCTCTTCTCTTCTCTTTCCTTCTCTTCTCTTCTCTTCTCTTTTCTTCTCTTTCCTTCTCTTCTCTTCTCTTCTCTTTTCTTCTCTTTCCTTCTCTTTTCTTCTCTTTCCTTCTCTTCTCTTCTCTTTTCTTCTCTTTCCTTCTCTTCTCTTCTCTTCTCTTTTCTTCTCTTTCCTTCTCTTTTCTTCTCTTTCCTTCTCTTCTCTTCTTTTTCTTCTCTTTCCTTCTCTTCTCTTCTCTTCTCTTTCCTTCTCTTCTCTTCTCTTTCCTTCTCTTCTCTTCTCTTCTCTTTTCTTCTCTTTCCTTCTCTTCTCTTCTCTTCTCTTTCCTTCTCTTCTCTTTCTTCTTTCTCTTCTCTTCTTTTCCTTCTTCTCTTTCCTTCTCTTCTCTTCTCTTCTCTTCTCTTTCCTTCTCTTCTCTTCTCTTCTCTTCTCTTTCCTTCTCTTCTCTTCTCTTTCCTTCTCTTCTCTTTCCTTCTCTTCTCTTCTCTTCTCTTCTCTTTCCTTCTCTTCTCTTCTCTTTCCTTCTCTTCTCTTTCCTTCTCTTCTTTCCTTCTCTTCTCTTTCCTTCTCTTATTTCTTCCCTTTTCTTTCCTTTATCATTTTCTCTGATTTTTTGTCTTTCTTACTTTTCTCTTTTTCCCAAATATTGACCAGATGCCAGAATTCACAGCTACAACAGCATAATTTGTTTCTCTACCTTTTCTTTATTTCCTTCTACATATTATATATTCGGGCCGATAATTCTTTTCTGACTAATGACACTGACCAATTAATCTCATTGAAAGTTTACAGTTAGGCCATTTTTTTTTATTTTTGTCAGTTGTCATTTTTTGTCACATCATTATTTTTTTTCATTACAAAACTCACTAGTTTATAGTCAATAATAACGACTTAGTTTACCTACTTCATATAACACAATTCCTTTCCAGGAACCCTAATCCTTAACTCATCATCATTCTCTTTTTCTTTTCTTTTACAGTGATGTTCACTCTGTACAAGACCTAAGAGCCACTCGATCTAGAGGGGTACAAAATTAGAGACACAATTTATGGTGATATGTAGGAAAGATAATAGTTGACCATAGACTTGAATAAGTAAAGTATCAGGGAGTGGCTTGTGGTAAGAAGCTGATGCAGAGAATAAGACGAGACAATATCAGTGAGGATGCAGCATAGATTAATGGATAGTGGCTCAGATTGAGGAATTGGAGAGCCGAGTTCAAATTCCAGTTGAATCTATTACATTCACTTACATGCTAATACCCTTGGAAACTGAACCCTTTATTTAATCTACAGGGCTAGACTGTTCTCATTTCACTGATATTGTCACTTATGTGTCATGAATGATACATGTTTAGGTGATCATGTATCTTTCAATACATGACTGACGAGGCAGATTTTTTTTTCCCTGCAGTAGGTTGCCATTTCTTTCTGTATTAGACCAGTTGCCATCCAAGGCTATAGAACTCGTTCTGTCCTGCTATTTACCTATAGTCAGTCGGTTATATGCCATGCATGATACACACTTAGGCAATCATGTATCTTTCAATACATGGCTGACAAGGCAGATTTTTTCCTGCAGTAGGTTGCCATTTCTTTCTGTGTTAGACCAGTTGCCATCCAAGGCTATAGAACCCGGTCTGTCTTGCTATTTACCCATAGCTGGGGGAAAAAGAAGAGGATTCACACCTTTCCTAAGGGTATTAGCACGTAAGTGAATGTAATGGATTCGACTGGAATTTGAACTTGGCTCTCCGATTCCTCAATCCGAGCCGCTATCCATTACTCCACCATGCTTCCTTCTTTACTAACTGTAGTTAATTTCTAAAGACATTTTTAAAATCCATTCATTTTTAACTCTTTTCTTTTATGAAGCTTTAGATTTCAAGAAATCTTTATTTCATGAACTGTGACTCTCTGGAACTAACTCTCGAGGGGATGCTTCCACAATCAATACAATCTTGGCCTGTTCAGGCTTAGGGTTAACTGCTGTCTTCCACACATGTCCGTATGGACTGTGCCTCTTTTCTTCCTTTGTAACCCCCTGCCTCGAGTGGCTCTCGGGCATTTACGCAAGTATAACTATTTTTTGAAAAAAAAAATTTTTAAATATGCAAAATTCAAAAAAATTTGCTTATTGTAAAATTGAGAATAATTTTCATAATTACTACAAAAGCCAATGCACAACATCGCTATTTATAGACATCATATGCACACACATGCACAGACACACACGTACGTACATGCACGCATACATACATGCACACATACATACATGCGCACACATCTTATTCCTGATATTGGATATGTCTACCCATAAATATATCAAATTTTAAATAATGTAATTAAACACACACACACATACTCATACACACACAGACACACACACACATATATATATATACACACACACATATTTATATATATATATATACACACACATATATTTATATATATATATATACACACACATATATATTTATATATATATACACACACACACACACACATTTATTTATTTATATATATATATATATATATATATATATACACACACATACATATTTATTTGAAGATGAATACTAGTTTTTTTCTGTTATATTTTTTCTCGCTAGTATTAATCAAAAATTGCCCTTTGCAATTAAAGATTTATAAGGGGATGCGGAAAAATTCTTGGATCAGCCCACTTCCCAAAATGTGACCAATATATCAAATATCAGTATTTTTGGGGGAAGGACTTCTTTATTGGACCAAAAATTACTTTATTATCATTTTATGGCCAATGCATGTCAGTACAGATGTAAAACAAAAAGGCCCCAGATTGTGTGTGGACATGTCTGTCAACAGCAGTTACATCCGTATTTTCCCTGTTAGCAGCCAGACAGCTTGGCATGTCCAGATATGAGCCTCTCTGCAACTTGTCTAGATCTGGATTTCTCTCAACTGTCTCCTGTCAATAAAAGCAATGGGAAAACCAGCGGTCAGCAGTGGGCAGTTGGCAAGTCTTGTCACCTTGTGAAGTTGGTCCCATGGACATTTTGTTCATAAAGTTGCTGTGGTTTCTAAGGCAGTGTTATTTTGTTACTGCCTGTATCTTTCCTCTCTGACTATTACTCCCATAGTTCTTGGGAGAGTAATCAGTTACGAGTTTCCCCTGACTGCAACACACTCTTACTGTGCATTGCAACACATTTTAAGATGTTTAAACTATCCTGTATAAAAAAAAAACATTTCCTGAGATAAATGATTAAAAATAGTTTCAAGCAAATGAATCCATTTGGTATTAGATAACAATCTTTCATCAGACCTTATAGATTGGCTCTAGAAATAACAAAAACAACATCACTCAAAGACTTCCAACAGTAGCAACAACTAAAATGAGAAAATAATGATATAATCAAAATGTTAAATTTCCACACTAGGTTTGGAAAACTTCCAATAATATTGGAAAGTCTATAATATTTAATGGACTTTTTCTATAAAACAATTTCAAGAAAAAGATTTTATAAATTTCAACTGACAACAATATTCTATTTTCGCCATTACCATACTCCAGGTCAAGATGAGTGAGAGTGAGACTTGGTACATAGATATCTTTCTTATGAAAACTTGCACAAAATGACACCAGTGTGAACAATAATTAAAAAAGCAATATGCTCTATTTCCTAATTATCTATCTATCTAGCCTATTCTAAACATATTCATCTCATTCTATTCCTATCTATCTATCTATCTATCCTATTCTATACATATTTATCTCATTCTATTCCTATCTATCCTATTCTATACATATTCATCTCATTCTATTCCTATCTATCCTATTCTATACATATTCATCTCATTCTATTCCTATCTATCTATCTATCTATCTATCTATCTATCCTATTCTATACATATTTATCTCATTCTATTCCTATCTATCCTATTCTATACATATTCATCTCATTCTATTCCTATCTATCTATCTATCTATCTATCCTATTCTATACATATTTATCTCATTCTATTCCTATCTATCTATCTATCTGTCTATCTATCTATCCTATCCTATACATATTTATCTCATTCTATTCCTATCTATCTATCTATCTATCTATCTATCTATCTATATATCTATCCTATTCTATACATATTTATCTCATTCTATTCCTATCTATCCTATTCTATACATATTCATCTCATTCTATTCCTATCTATCTATCTATCTATCTATCTATCTATCTATCTATCTATCCTATTCTATACATATTTATCTCATTCTATTCCGATCTATCCTATTCTATACATATTCATCTCATTCTATTTCTATCTATCTATCTCTCAATCTATCTATCTATCTATCTATCTATCTATCTATCTGTCTATCTATCTATTCTATACATATTTATCTCATTCTATTCCTATCTATCTATCTATCTATCTATCTATCTATCTATCTATCTATCTATCATATTCTATTCTATTCTATACATATTTATCTCATTCTATTCCTATCTATCTATCTATCTATCTATCTATCTATTCTATACATATTTATCTCATTCTATTTCTTTCTATCTATCTATCTATCTATCTATCTATCTATCTATCTATCTCATTCTGTTCCTATCTATCTATCTATCTATCCTATTCTATATATATTTATCTCATTCTATTTCCTATCTATCTATCTATCTATCTCATTCTATATCTATCTATCATACTCTCTAGGCCAAAACGTTTGAGGACCCTCTGGAATTTGAAGAATCTCTCAAAATTTTAATTCTCTGTGCCTTTTTCAAAGCAAATTTACCAGCTCACTTCAGACCAGATGGCTTTTCTCAATCATGATGGGGTTTATCATGCATTCAATATCAGTAGTAATAGTAGTCGTAGTATTAGTAATAATGATAATAAAAACTATCAAAATACAAGGATCTTGAAATGGAAATCAATAATTCCAGTTGTAGTTGGAGACTGATTAGAAAGGGTCCGATAGACTCAATGAAGGGATTCTGAGTAGGCCATACCTTAAAGAAATACAAAAAATCTATATAAAATGTGTTTGATCATAGGTTTTCTTTTTACTTTTGCTTTTGCTTTTGTTACAAAAATGATCAGTGTCAAAAGTCATGTAGCCATTTCTGACATTAGGTATCTGGTTGGTGACCTGGAAGGAAATGTTTATACAATAGAAATAAAAGGAAATAATAATAATAATAATAATAATAATAATAATAATAAAGAAATTAACACAAGGCTTCCTTAAAAGTCTCACTCTTTCTGCCTAATCTACCTTGCTGACTAATTGTAATCTTAGAGCTGACGAATTTTAAATTACAGGTAACACCCACTCTAAAAATTAGACACCATGCACTAATGACTTAAATAGTTTCAGCATCCTAGTTTAGTAGGAGTTAATTAACCAAAGAATGTATGATATCCTGATTGATATATCGTGTATGTGTGTATATATATATATATATATATATATATATATATATATATATATATATATATATATATATATATATATATATACATATATATATATATATATATATACACACATATATAATATAAAAATATGATATAAAAGGTTCCATGGTTATAATTTATGACATTGGAATTGTTAGTGTTTTTTGAGCCTTTTATATTATATTATTACTTTGCCCTGGACATTGAGTTCTACCTGGATTCTATCCTCTTGTGAATTTATATATATATATATATATATATATATATATATATATATATATATGTGTGTGTGTGTGGATATTGATGGATATTCAGGCAGTTTTTTCTATTAGTTTTATTAGTTTTTATTACTGTTTTTATTAGTTACCTTGTTCAAAAAATTTCATTTCGTATTTCGCTTTGATAAAGTCCACATTGGACAAAATGCATCAGCAATTACTAGTTTTCCTATTGTCATTTTTATTCATAAATATTGTTGTCTCTACTGGTTAAATCAGAGAAATTTTCATATATATATATATATATATATATATATATAAATGACTTCTTCAAATTAATAATAGTTTTATTGATGCAGTTTGAGAGAGGTATATATATATATATATGCAAGTATAGGATTGGTGTATATGGAATAAATTTCAATAACCAAAAAATACTATTCTTAAAAGAGTGCTCAATACAGATTAGAGCACATATAATTTATTTGAAAATTATAACATAAATATGTTATAAAATCACTACAAAAATAGCCATTTTATTTCAACACTTCTGGTGTCTTATCAAGTGATGGTGTTGATTGTAGAATAAAGGGATTTTTATTCAACATTCAATACCATTACTTGGTAAAACACGAGAAGTGTTGAAACAAAATGGCTATTTTTTAGTTATTTTATAACATATTTATGTTATAATTTTTGAATAAATTATATATATATATATATATATATATATAGATAGATAGATAGATAGATATAGATATAGATATATATACATATACATATATATATATTGATTTATAGTTAGCAACTCTTAACTTTTATGAAATAAAACATACTTTAGTTTCTCCCCAATGGTAAGGGATCATTAGGCTTGGTTATATTCTTATAAATTACGAATTGTTTTTGAAATAGGGTACAGAATCTCAACAAAGTTTTTAAGAAATTTGACAAATGAAAAATGTTTCATTTTCAATCAAATCTGTTTTCAATAAAATGTTTCCTATGAGTCAAATTTCTTAATATATATATATATATATATATATATATATATATATATATATATATATATATACATTTGCGGAATTGAAGGTGAAAGGTCTGAACCCACAAACAGACTGGAAAATTAAAGGTTTCACTCATATTCCTAATAGTCATAGAGATAGGTGTAACTTGTGTTTAGAAGAAAAAATTAAAATAATAAAATACAATAATCAAAGCAAGCTGTTAAATCAAAGGAATGAATTAGTTTTAAAATGTTGACATAAAAACAAATTTAAACTTCTATAATATAGATTTTACTTTATTACTTTTAAATTCTCTAACTCTTCAAATATCAAATATATAACTATTTCTAATTTCTATATTTCTATTTTTTCACCACATTAATTATATCTTATAATTGTCCCCTGTGCTAAGAACTCTCTTTCCTTTTATCAATTACACTTCTTTATATATTTTTGAAATGTTTTTTAGGTTTTTTAAATTTAACTTTGTATAGTTTGTTTGTTTTTTAATATAACTTTATTTAACTTATCTTTAAAGTAAAAAATGTATAATTTATTTTTATTCTTTTAATATAATTTTTTTAATGTATTCTTATTTAAATTTAAATATATATATATGACTTATTTGTAATCTTTTTAATACATCTTATTTTTAAGTATAATTTATTATTTTTTAAGTAGAAACCTAAACTTTTTAAATATATATAAATTTTTTTTTATAAAATTACCTTTTCAGACCTCTTTTAATTTCAAATTAACACCTCATTCTTTGTATAACCCTACTTTGATGTCATAAGGTTAATATCCGGGTTTAATTTTATAAAACTTCTTCCCTTTATGACTAATACCTTCCACCTTCCACTAACCACTATCTTGGGCATTTTGTCTGACTGAAACATCAAAATGGATAATCTATGTATCAATTTTTTGAAGGCTGTTAAAGTCAAATTTCTAATTCCTACACAAACACAGTCTATACACCAGGGTTGAATAAGACTGACGTACTTTTGTTGGTTGTAAAAGATCTATCCACCCACCCCATATGAGGTAATTTTGGATTTTGTTGTGTAATATATATATATATATATATATATATATATATATATAGAGAGAGAGAGAGAGAGAGAGAGAGAGAGAGAGAGAGAGAGAGATACGTTTATATTTGCGCAAGTGGATATATATATTTATATTTATTTGTATATATACATATATATATATATATTTATATTTGTGCATGTATACATATATTTATATTTGTGTATGTATATAAATATATATATTTATAAATGTGTGTATATATATATTTATATTTATGTATATATATTTATATTTGTGTGTATATATATATATATATATATGCATATTATATTTGTGTTAATGTATGAATATATCTATGTGTGTGTGTGTGTGTTTGTGTGTGTGTGTGTGTGTCTATAGTATGTAGGTTTCATGAGACATGAAATTTATAGTCACTATGCAGTGTTGATTTATTGGTTCACACAACATGTACAGTTACTTTTGCTCTCTTCCCATAAATATAGCAAATTCTAAGCAATATATATATATATATATATATGTTTACACTAACTTAAAAGCTGCCATATCGGGCAGCATTAATAATTAAGCTTAATTAACCTTTTAATAGTTCAATCATAATACTTCTGCTGCCAGTTAATTTAAAGAAAATTTGATGTACGTAGGTCCTTACTTTCCAAACAAACAATTATTTTTATTAGATGTGTGACTTTTGATGGATTTTGCAATTAATTTTGATTATTCCCAAATTTATTTCCAAATTATTGTACAAAAAAAAAGTCACAAAATATCACATGCTGGAAACAATCACAGTAATAAAAAATTCGGAATCCAATATTTCAGGATTGCAAGTCTGGATCTGGCCAAGAAGGTTTTTACTTTGCTCATGGAGTTGTCCTGATTCCAATATGATATTATATATTGGGCTACACTTCTAGGAGTAAAGTGGAAAAAGTGTGAAACAGTGAAACACTGACATTCACATTAAGTATATATATATATATATATATATATATATATATATATATATATATGGCCTGATGATTGTATTTAGCATGAAAGAGGCTGTTGCCTCTCAGCATTGATTTCAATGTCCACTTTAATATTTACATACACTCTGTCCCTAATATGAATATAGCATATCTTAAAACTATATTTTAGTATATCTATCTATCTATCTATCTATCTATCTATCTATCTATCTATCTATCTATCTATCTATCTATCTCTCTCTCTCTCTCTATATATATATATATATATATATGTATGCATGTATGTATGTATAATATAATTGCTTATATAGATTCGACCACTCACAGATATTCATCCATCCACAGACACACACACACACACACACACACACACACACACACATACATACATACATATATATATAAATATATATATATCAATAGAAAAACTTAATGCATGTCAGAGAAAATCAGATTATAAATTTACTTTGGTAAGTTTTTAATAATTGCTTTATCAGACCAAAATTACAAAACTATTCTTCTTCTTATATATATATATATATATATATATATATATATGAAGAAATATAGTTTTAATGCATGCTATATTTATGGGATAAAGTGCTCAATATCAGGATAGAGCTATATAAATATAAAAGTAAACACTGAAGTCAACACTCAGATGCAACAGACTGTTTCATGCTAAATGCAATCATCAAGACCAATGATTCATTTTAGCATAAAACAGTCTGTCACCTCTGAGTGTTGACTTCAGTGTTCACTTTTATATATATATATATATATATATATATATATATACAAAAAATGTTTTATAATCCCTATATGATACATATATATATATATGAAATCCATATATATATATATATAATAAATATATATATAATAAATATATATAGTTTTTTTCTTCTATATATATATATATATATATATATATATATATATATATATATGACAGAAAAGACTAGATGTAGAACTTATATGGCAAAGCATTTTATTCCATGAGTAAATTTATCAAGGTAAATATAGAAATTTTATTCACTGACATGTAATGATACATAGAAGAAATTTGTAGAAAAATAAAATAGCATTAAGTTTTAAAACTTAAATTTTTTTTGATTTCTAATTTTGAATTTTTTAATTCAAAATTTTTAAAATATAAATGAAAATTTTACCTGATAAAGTTTCTCAAGGTACAAAATTTTTGGGAATTTAAGTTTGCCCTCTTCTTTATTTATTTCATCTTGAAAATATATATATCTATATCTATCTATCTATCTATCTATCTATCTATCTATATATATATATATATATATATATATATATATATATATATATAGATAGATAATATTAGTGGAAAATATACATACATATGCAAATATATATAAAAAATTCCCATACATGTATATTTTCAGAAAAAAAAAATTTTCAAGAGGAAGGATCCAGGTAGAACTCAATGTCTAGGACAGAGTAAGGATATAATAAAAAGGCTTATATATATATATATATGCATATATGTGTGTGTGTGTGTATATGTATGTGTTTGTCTATATATATATATAAGTGTGCGTATGTATACATATATATATATATATATATATATATATATATATATATATATATACATATATATATATATACATATATATATATATAATGTTTTATAACCCATTTGGCATGTCAAATATGTATGTACATTGTACAAGTCTTGTAAATATATATTTACAAAACTGCAAATGTCAACATCAGTTCATATCTATCTGTCTGTTTATTCACCTCACATTCTCTCTCTCACACACAAAACATACATACAAATACACACATAGATATGTACACTCATATATTTAAAAAAATTGTAAGTATCAAACTGAATGATTATATTTGTAGCCATTTTGCATTGATTTTTGGCTTTATCCATGTTTCTTTTCACTTCCAATACTGAGCAAAACAGACAAACATTTAAGTTTGATCTATTTGAAAGCAGCTTTTCTTCATAATGAATAAGCATTCACATAAGTTGAACCAAAAAGGTGCATAAATATTTTCCATAAGAATGTTTCCCATTTTGATGTACTTTTATTCAGTTTCAATTCCCTGCATCTTATCTTGTCAATATAAAAAAAGAAAAAAATCAGACTCCTCAAAGTCATTTCTGTTCGATGTACGCTCTGAAAAAAAAAAAAAAAATGTAAAACAGAGAATAATGTTGTGAAAAAAATCTGAATCATTTATTTTTTTTTAATATTTTTTTTTATGATCCCCTCCCCTATGATCCTAAAGGAGCCTGGGTGCTCACATAAAATATCCTTATTTTCTTACCCCCAACCTTAACAGCCCAAAAAGCCTTTTACTTGGACCTCCCATAATGTTTTTAACGTGTTAACACCAGGAGAAACACTCACTGATTCACAAGCACATAATATGAAAGGAAAATGATTAATTTGTTAAAACTTATTTTTTTAACAATTTTTATTGGCATATTTTTGATGGATCAATTTTAATTTCTGTCTTTTTTGTAATTTTTGTAATTCCTTTTTTTTTTTTGAAAAAAATAAAATTACAAAAATAAAAGCAAAATTCTTTTTCCTTTTGAGAAGTAGAATTTCCGGAAAGTTCTTTTCATTCCCTACCATACAATGTGTATGCTTGCCAGTGTCTGTAATTTCTCAGTGGGTATTTGAATTTAAAAGAAGAAAAAAATGTGTTTAAGTGAAATTCTTTTTGTGAGAGGCTTTAAGTTGTTTAAAGATTTACCCCCTATAAAGATTTACCCCCTATAAAGCTTATATCCGATAAATACCTTTGAGGTTAAGGTTAAATAGCAAGCTGTACAAAAAAAGCACAAGCTATCATAAAAAAAATCCCTTGGTCTTTAAATGCCTAAGTGGAATAGAAACAGTTTAAAAGCTTCGAGAAGCCATGTCATAAATAAAATATTACACATATGCATACATTTTTGAGTGAGATGGGAAAAGAAGTAAAGTTGTTTGCAACATAAAACGAGAATTTGTTAACAGAGTTCAAATTCAGAAAAAAGATTGCTTTTCTTTGTGGCACCAATTTCCTTATTGAAGACATGAATATAATTCTGCCCCATTTCTAGTTGTTGAAATTATTACCTGATTTTTGTCTGAAAATTATCTGGAAAAAATTGTCTGGAAACTATTATCTGATTTTTGTCTGAAAATCATCTGGAAAAAATTGTCTGGAAATTATTATCTGATTTTTGTCTGAAAATCATCTGGAAAATTTGTCTGGAAACTATTATCTGATTTTTGTCTGGAAATTATTATCTGATTTTTGTCTGAAAATTATCTGGAAAAAATTGTCTGGAAATTATTATCTGATTTTTGTCTGACATTCAGTCATTTATTGTGTCATGTGTGATACACAAGCGATCATGTATCTTTCGATACATGACTAACAAGGCAGATTTTTCCCACAGTAGGTTGTCATTTATTTCTGCCGTAGACCAGTTGCCATCCAAGGCTATAGAACTGTAATCTTTTATGCCCGTGAGGCATACAGTTATGCAAATGAATACAGGCCTCGCTCCCAGTCTGGTCGCGCACGCACACTGCCATTTTAGTGTCCTCCACCATGACGTTTGCCTTCACTCATTCATTTGTTACAAGAACCCAGTCTGTCCAGCTATTTATCCACAGCTGGGGGGAGAAGAAGAGGATTCATACCTTTCCCAAGGGTATTAGCATGTAAATGAATGTTAATGGATTCGACTGGAATTCAAACTCAGCTCTCCGATTCCTCAGTGCAAGTTGCTATCCACCGTGCCTCCTGACGTTACAGAATCATAAACAACAAATTGTACCAAATAATAGAAACTACATCATCTGTGAACGATCAACGGCTGCAACAGCTAAAATAGATAGCATGCGTAACTTAAGGAGAAAATAATGATATAATCAAGATGCTGACTTTCCACACTACTTCAGACAAAAGTTTAGGAAGGAAACCCCAATCAGTATTAGAAAGTGTGGATCCAACCTACTCCTCAAAATCTGACCAGATGACCAAACATCAAAACTTTGGAAATGGGTCTTGATCAGATCGAGAAATTTTCAGCACCGTCATATAAATTTCTTTAAGCTTAAGAGATGAAATGGACTTGAAGAACCTGTTTACATGAAAAATTGTGTTACTAGAAAGATTTTATAAATTTCAACTGGCAGTTCGGTCAATGAACGCCAAATGTTTACTTATAGGGAAAACAACAGTTATTACCCCTATGAACGTGTAACAATGAGTTTAAATGGGCAGAGACACGCAATGCGTAGGGGAATATCATGAGGAAATCTCTAAAATAAATTCTGATGTAACAGACATCAAAGAAAGCAGTTGTAATAAAATCTCTAAAGGAGATTGCCACATGAAAAACAAATTGTCCAGGCTGTGATGCTCTGACAACATATGCTCCATTTATCAGGATACAGATTAACACTTTCTTTTCCGTCCTAATCTACATGTGTCATGCTTGACAGCTCCAAGTAAAGCACCTTCTGTAATTATTCATTATTCTTTGACTAACTGCATTTTTGTTCCTTTATAGACGCCAGCTACATGTATGTAATCATGGAAGATGGCAAAAATTCCCAATGGCTAATCTTCATTTAGTGGCACTTCCAGTCAGCATTCTATCAGTTAGTATTGTATTTTCTCCATTTCTTTTAAATGACTAATTTATCCATCTCATTCTGTTCCTATCTATCTATCTATCTATCTATCTATCTATCTATCTATCTATCCCATTCTGTTCCTATCTATCCCATTCTATTCTATATGTCTGTCTTTCCCATCTAATTCTATTCCTGTCTGTCTTTCTATCTATCTTCTATTCCTATCTCTCTGTTCTATCTATCTATCTATCTATCTATCTATCTATCTCATTCTGTTCCTATCTATCTATCTATCTATCTATCTATCTCATTCTGTTCCTATTTATCTATCTATCTATCCCATTCTATTCTTCTATATCTCTATCTGTCTTTCTATCTATCTAATTCTATTCCTATCTATCTATCTATCTATCTAGCTATCTCATTCTGTTAATATCTATCTATCTATCTATCTATCTATCTATCTATCTATCTATCTATCTATCTATCAGTCTGTTTATCTATCTATCTATCTATCTATCTATCTATCTATCTATCTATCTCATTCTATTCCTATCTATCTATCTATCTATCTATCTATCTATCTATCTATCTACCAAGTGATCAATCAATCTATCGAACTATCCTATTTTATACATACCTATCTCATTCTATACATACATATCTATCTATCTATCTATCTATCTATCTATCTATCTATCTATCTATCTATCTATCTATCTCATTCTATTCCTATCCATATATCTATCAATCTATCAAGTGATCTATCTATCCTATTCTATACATATCTATCTATCTATATATCTATCTGTCTTTTTACCTATCTATGCCATTGTATTTCTATCTATCCCATTCTATTCTTATTTGTTTATCTCATTCTATTCTTATCTATCTATCTATCTATCTATCTATCTATCTATCTATCTATCTATCTATCTATCTATCTATCTATTTAATTCTGTTCCTATCTATCTGATTCTGTTTCTATCTATCTCTTTAACTATCTATCTATATGATGAAATATAATTTTAAGGTATGCTATAGTTATATAGTATGCGTAAAAGTGCTCAATATCAGAGATAGAGTGTATGTAAATATAAAAGTGAACATTGAATTCAACTCTCAGTGAAGAGAATTGGATAGGTAAATAGGAACAGAATGGGATAGATAGATAAGAATATATATATATATATATATATATATATATATTTAGTTGGATAGATGTGAGTTTGTGACCCTGGGTTTCAGCTTTAGCGATCGTTTTGTCTGACGATCGCTAAAGCGTGAAACCCAGGGTCACAAACTCACATCTATCCAACCAAATATGTTAGCTCTATCTCTGATATTGAGCGCTTTCTAATAAGTACCGCGCATATAATATATAAATAATTATACATATATATATTTATTTATATTTATATACACTTTTCACATATATATATATATATATATATATATAATAAAAAAGTCTTCAACACTAATATGGAATATTAGTGTTTAAGCATTTTCATTATATCCTTACTCTGTCCTGGGCATTGAGTTCTACCTGGATTCTATCCTCTTGGATTTATTTTTTATACATATATATATGTATGTGTATGTATATATATTTATATATTTTAGATACATGAGTGCATATGTATGTGTATATTTACCACTAATATTATTTATATATATATATATATATATTTATTATAAAATTTTGTCATACAGAAAAAAATAATTGCTCATGACAAAGACGCATTTTTGTTTCAATGCATAGGAGCATCTCTTATGCATTAAAACAAAAATGCATCTTTGTCGTGAGCAATTGGTTTTTCCATATTTCAAAATTTTATAATAAATAACTACTGCTCTACTCCTTTTGAATTAATGCTGTGAAAGTTTGAATCTATATTCTTTTTACTCTTATTACATGTGGATGTATATATATATATATATATATCAAGTATGTGGTGCAGTTCAATTTACATTACATGAATCATTCATATAAAAATAGTTATATCATTAACTTCTATATCTGTTTTTTGTATGAATGATTCATTTAATATATTTATATATATATATATATATATATATATATATAAATGGAATAAATCCTAAAGAGCCAGAAACAACCTACCTAGGTTTCACCTAAACCGATCTTCAGGGTAAGCTGGCTAAAGAGGAAATGACATGAAACTGTATTTTTTGATAAAACCACTGAAAACTAATTAGCATAAAACCTCATGACAGAAGATAGAAAGAAAAAAATTTCCTCTTTAGGCATCTTACCCTGAAGATCCATTTAGGTGAAACCTAGGTAGGTTATTTCTGGCTCTTTAGGATTTATTTTATTTATCCCAGCTCTACTTAGCATATTGAGCACTCTACATTTTAGCTTTATTACTCACTTGGGGCTTTCTCTTTGAAATAAGAACTTAAGGCACTGGACAATTTGTTTTGCCCTGTTCAGATGTTTCTAGTTCTTTCTTTTTTTTTCCAATTTTTTCCTTGGGTACAAATTTGTTTTGATATTCTTGCAAGTTGTGCTATCCAAGGTTTTTTTCCAACTGAGTATTACTAGTAGTTTAATACACACACACACACACACACACACACACACACACACACACACACACACACATATATATATATATATATATATATATATATATATATATATCCAGTGTATTCTTATCTATCTATCTATCTGAATAGATATAGTCTGATTTTAGAATGTGCAAATGTATTCATACTTAAATGTATTTGTAATATTAATATTTAATATTAATACCGATAACTGCTTGTAAACTTTCATTCTCAGGCTTATATCTACACACAAATGCTCACAGAACCATGTGCACACACACATCAGCATGTGCACATGCACACGCATACATACAAACATGCACACGTATATACACCCATGCACACAATTGTGTGTGTGTTTATGCCAGTGTGTTTCAGTTTAAGCTATGCTTTCCCTCTCTAAAACTTGATATCCTGCTGGGATTTTAGATTTTAGGAAGACGTCAAATTTGAGAAAAAAAATTTAATAAAAGGAATTCTTTATAAATACCAAACTTGAAAAACTCAGTCAGGAAACGTATGGCATATCAAAAATAGCTTTTTAATATTAAATTTACAGATGTTCTGTGGCGCATTTTGTCCGAAGAGAATTCTAAGTGTGGCATTAAACATAAAGTCAGTCGTTTGTTAGAAGGAAAGAAAAAAATAGTAATTATCATTGGACTGCTTCGGCTTTGGCAGTTTTTGTTGCATTTTTCAATATCAGGAAGATTTATAGACAATCTGAAAATAAAACAGCATCTTAAAAGAAGTGTTTAACCTTAAACTTACATGTATACTTAAAATTGAACATCAAAGTATATACATATATGTGTGTTAGTGTGTACATTTGTGCATGTATGTGTATATACATATAAATATAGATAACTAGACTCGTTTCGAAAAACCCTCGAATTTTTGATTTGCTAATCAAATCAATCTCGAGGGAAAAAAAGGTTTTAAAAAAAGAAAGAGCACAAACATGAACTTCTGCCGACAAAAAAATCGCACAGATGCAGGTCTGAAGCCCAAAGAAAAAACCCCGATACAAGTAACAACTAACAAAAGAGCTCAATACAACCGTAGAGCATAAATATATTTAATATATTTTCTGTTTATATGTTATTTTTATAGATACAGTTTATTTAAGTAAATACTCTGTTTTTTAATTAGACAGAATTAATTACATTTACCGGCCTGAAAGTTCAAGAAATTTTGTAGAAAATATGCATTCTTCAACAGGAATTGAACCTGTGTTCTACACAGTACCGTCATTTAATCTGACGTGTTATACTACTTAGCTATAGAGAAGCGTCCAGTTAGCAACGTACAAATTAATGTTTTCAAACACACGATCTTCAATGATTTACCTTGATCGATTATATTTGCTCATGAAACGTATCTTTAATGACAACATATAATGGAATGGATTAAGTCCAATAATTATTTAATGTATTTTCTGTTTATACGTTATTATTTATACATATAGATTATTTAAGTAAATGCTCTGTTTTTTAATGAAACAGCATTAATTACATTTCCTAATCTGAATGTTTGAGAAATTTCATAGAAATCAAACCTGTAACCCTTACGGGAACCATTATTTGTCCTGACATGCTGCTAACTATTAAGTCACAGAGATTCCTGTCGGAGAAGCACATATTTTCTATGAAATTTCTCATACATTCAGGCCAGTAAATTTAATTAATATTGTTTAATTAAAAAACAGAGTACTTACTTAAATAAATTATATCTATAGTATGGAATCAATCTCTTTCTCTCTTAGCAATTGATTCAATAATATTATACATAATATAAAATAACATGTGATATTTAATATATTTTCAGTTTACACGTTATTTTTATAGATATATAAACAGAAAAATATATTAAATAATTGTTGAACTGTCATATATGAGGTAAATGAATGGAATCATCTGTTTATGTAAATAAGCAGAGTTAAGCATTGGGTCCATTGTTAAGTGTACCTTCATGTAGTAAACTTTCTATTTCATTATTTACTTATGAATTTGACATCCATTTCTATTTCTCTCTGTTATCTTGAAAATATGGACTTAATCCATTTCATAATATATTGTCAATGTTTACGTTAAGATATGATTGATTAAGAAAAATCGTTGAAGATGTGTGTTTATAAACAGTAATTTGGACTTTGCTAACCAGACACTTTTTTATGGCTGAATGATTAACAGTCCATAGGATCAAATGGTGGTTCTCATTAAGGTTTACATGTTCGATTCCTATCGGAGAACACATATTTTCTAAGAAATTTCTCAAACATTCAGGCCAGTAAATGTAATTAATACTGTTTAATTAAAAGATAGAGCATTTACTTAAATAAATTTTATCTATTAAAAATAATATATAAACAGAATATATATTAAATAATTGTCGGACTTAATCCATTTCATAATATCTTGTCATTGTTTACGATATGTTTCAGATATGATCGATCAAGAAAAATCTTCAAAGGTGTATGTTTATAAACAGTAATTCGGATTTTGCTAACCAGATGTTTCTTTGTGGCTGAATAGTTAGCAGCACATAGGATTAAACGATGGTTCCCATTAAGGTTACAGGTTCGATTTCTGTCGGAGAGGACATATTTTCTAAGAAATTTCTCAAACATTCAGCAGGCCAGTAAATGTAATTAACACTGTTTAATTAAAAAACAGAACTCGTTATCTAGCATGATCAACAGTCTGAACAAGGCTAGCATGCTCAGGACCTCAGTCATGATGACCTGTGACTTCATGCTAGCACAATCACCGACAACTCTTAAGGGTTTTGTCTACCCGATTTCACTCACAAGACTTGAGTCAACTCGTGGTATGGTTTTCAACCACTTTCCAAATGTGTCACATGCTGGGATCCTCCTCCTCCAGACCAATAACATCAGATAGTCTCCTTTAAAGACAAATCAACACTGTTGAAATTCAAATCCAAGTGACATGCTCAGAAAGCATATGTTCTAACCACGCAGCCATGTGCTCCTTTTTTTTCTTTTTAATTGGTATCACCCCATGTAAGGCAGTAAAGCCACTAAGACACAAGGGGTTACAGGGTGTGGAAGAATTAGGAACGGAAACATTACTAATAAGCAGGAAGAGAAAAGAGTAATCAGGAGCACGGTAAATAGCGATTGACATTGCATTTAAATTTTTGCAGATTAAAGTTGGCTGGAAAGCATGTAGCTGGAAGGGAGTTCCACAAGCGAGAAGTTTGAGAAAAGAAACGGTTAGCATAGAACTTACGGCTGCATCTAGCCAGCTCTACTGTAAATTGCTGATATCTCAATGCCAGTCTGGTACTGAGCTTTGATTCAAAAAGTGTAGGTACTATAGTGAAGAGCTAATTAACATGCAAGTATTTATAGAAAAGGCAC